TTAAGCGCCCTCGTTAATAAGACTTTCTGCAAAAAGACAACGCCGATCCGGCCATCAGGTCGCAGGGAAGGATAAGCGTTCCCAACGAAGGTGATGGTGTCGGTTGCCATTTAAAACTCTGGGGTAAGCAAACTCTATGTCGAGCACACGAACACTGCCAACAGAGTCAGGGACGAAACAGAGTGTCTGGGAACGAGCTGACTACACGTAATGCATGCCGCATCGCACGTGACGTCATCGTTTAGTCCGACTCGACAGCAGCGGCTATGTGAAATATGTCCTGTATGAGTTCAGGAAGCCGAAATTACGCATCATAACACGCGCTGAACCGCCGCGAGTGATTCACATGGTTACCAGTGAACTGTCCTGTCATTTCCTGAAAGCGACCATGTGCACGGTGGTGGTTAGGAAGTTAAAGATTTCGAGCAGCTCTGCTACATGAAAAGGTGCCTCCCAACTTAAAGATTTTCAACCCGGAGACGGCGTTGTGTACTCGACTATGGGAACCAAGAGGTTTCGCCTACTGCGTTTGACGTTGTACGTGTATATCGTATGTATCTATGCGTGCTCAGGCTCTGGTGTAGAACTTAAATGAGTTGTAAAGATATGCCTCTGTGTTCCGGGGTTGCCAGGTCCGCTAGTCTTTTGTTGAATGGTTCTAGCAATGTGATGCAGCAGCAAAACATGCAAACTTTCTGTGCTTTGCGAAGCCGTAAAGACACACATTCCCTTACGGACACCCTGCATTTCAAGCACGGCATATGAGGCTTTGTGAATAACCCCCTTTGAGTGGAGATTTATACACATCATGTCCGGTGCCGACTGGTCAGACCAGGACCGTACAATGCCGCGCCTCGCCGCGCGCCAGCCTGCTGATTTCAACCGCTCAAAAGGCTCATCAAAACGCTTTTAAAAGCCATGATTTTGAAAGGCTACACAATGTCAGACAGACTATTAAGTGTTTAATTGACAGGTACCGCATGGTTTTGATGATTGGATTCGTTTCTAACGACTTTAAATAATGATAATGGTTTGAGGGCAGAAGCTGGCCAGAAAGAAAACGTTTATAATTGATGTAGACAAGACAGATTTTGAGTTTCTCTTTTCAGCATGGTGAGTTCATGCTGGTGATGTTCGGGCAACGTTCGTGATTCCTGATATTCGTAGTGAGAAATGTCTTCACCTTATATTTGGTGTGGATGATCGGAACCTTCTTACTTTGCCGCCTGCGTTTCGAGAAGCTCTGCGTATCGTCCAGCTTGATCCTGTGCATGGAGTGTTAGCATGTGGAGCTCGTTTTATTGATTATTCTGTAATACTTTTATCGCTAGTGTCAGATTAGACTTATACTGCAAGGCCACCTGTCATGCAGAACAAATTAATGCCAGGGAAGTTTATACGATATGTTCATACAGTATCCATGCATTGCTCCGCACACGGCCCGGGGGAAGTTGACTTTCCCGTTACGGGTTTTAGAGCACAGGCAAAAAAACGAACACTTGCAGCAACAGTAAATTTCCATTACCTGGTCATATATAAATTTCACATCCTTTACCCAAATTGAGGCTTTGACCTGATGAAGTGGAGGTGGAATCGAAAGCCATACACCCGCTCCTCATTGCCTACATTGGCTACATCACCCCATTCCTCACTTTTATTGCCTTTCCGTGGCCTACATCATTGGCTATTACATACATTTCCAGCAACCAAGATTCATGTAAGCAAAAGGTTGAACCGTGAATGATTGTTTAAATGCTATCAAAACATTGATGAAATGATTGCATTTCAAGCAGGGAATGTTTTTTAAAAATAGGTTTGGGAACAGTTAAAAATTATGCAATGTACCCCTAAAACATAGATGTTTTCCAGATTAGCACACTTCTTCACGAAATTAGGGGGAGGGATGGAGACCTGAACAGAAGAAAACTTAAGAACATCCCTGATTTGGAGGTCTAAGTGACTGGTAACCATTCTCAGTCAGGATAAGAATAAAAATGGCATACATTGGCATGTCAGAACTACTATCATCTACTGTTGTTCCCATTCATGAGGAGTGCCATCAGACTTTAACTTCAAACCCACAGTTCTTTTCAAAGGGAAGAAGGCTCGTCGCTTGGGACTGCTTCAGCGAGTCAATAGCTATTCTGTGTTTTGAAAAGGCGGTTTGGATAATCCCAGGCCAATTTCTGCCTTGGTCGGATCATCCCGCCGACTTACTCCGGACTGCCAATAACTCTCGCCTCTGAGGAAAGGACGCTGAAGCGCGGCAGCGCCAACGAAGTACGAAAGGTAAAAAATTAAACTCTAGGCAGGTATTTATGACATTGCAATGAGAATGCCAATTGCAAAATTACAATGCATTGGAAGCCACTGCCCATCTCATATCAGTCGTATCGCAACGATCGAAACATGACCTTGCGGCCACATGAATCCCCATATCTGGATTTTTTTAGTGCTTTACCCTGTGTAGTTCGGGACACTGAGGGTCGGCTGTTAACAACCGCGAATCGGCCGACCGGTTGGGCTGTAGGAAATACACTGATTTGTCGCCGACCTGCCACCGAGTCAGCCGGCTAACTAAAAACCAAGGCATATTTGGTCGCCGGGTTAGAATAAAGCCTAAAAAGATACCAGGGTGCCGTAGAGTACGAGAAAGAGTCTACGGAAACATTTGCTGGCGTTGTGTGACGAAATATATTATCATGGAGGCATAATGTCTATGTATGGAGACCTCATGTTATCTTTTGCATAGTGTGCTGTATTGTCCCCAAAATGTATCGTCCAAAAACGTGAAACATGTTCGGTACCAAGCTCTGCGTGAATATATACTTTTTTGTCACCGACCTTACTTACCAAGTCAGCAGTTTTACCATCCCTCATAAAAATAGCGTAAACAGTCAACATCGGAGCTTGATGATGAATAGCCTTGATCTACATAAACTTGACCTGACAACGCATGTCATTCCTACAAGGGTCGGCTGCCTTCTCAGTATATGTTAAGAGAACATTAGGGAGACGCCAAGGAACGGAACGGACAGCTTTTTGCAACGTCTAGTCTTGCATTGAAACGTGTTCCACCTGCTATACGATGCATAAAAACGCAATTTCTGGCTGACATCAGAGCATGTGTCCTTTATTGTGCACATCATGTCTATCAAAGTGCAATGACTGGCTGTCATCAGAACATGTGTCCTTCATTGTGTACATCATGTCTATCAAGGCGCGATGGCTGACTGGCACCAGAGTATGTGTCCATTGTGCGTATCAGTTCAATCAAACCGCAACGATGCATGTGATTTTTTTCCGAAAATTCACGATAAATCCCAGTCATATACACAAACAAAGGAGACAAATGTAGCATGCTATCTTCACTCATCAGTTGTGGCTTGTGGGGGTGAATATTCTGGGCGCAGGCACCGCTTCAAATCAACTGTCAGCTATCTGTTAACTCTGAACAAATAACGTTTGTTTTTTTTTCTCCTGAGGCCTCACCTGCTTCACTGTTGGGTATGATGCCAAAGGTAAACTCCTACGATTGAGAATAACTTCCGAACGTGCAGCCGTAGACTGCACCCGCAAGTTGTACGTCTACCAATTTTTTTAAAAAATCAGGCCACCAAGCCAAAATATCGTCAGTGAAGGCTTCCGTGCTAACTTCGCCCCTGCATGCAGCAGTAGCAGCTTCCATTCTTGTTTTGGGCCACTTCGGTGCAAGTTCTTGAGTGGTGTGACTGGCTGTCAGTCAGACTCTAGTTTGGCCACATCATACGACGTAACGCCAGGTCAGAGGTCATGTGAGGTCGGCTTACAGGCGTCTCTAGAAGTTTGTAGCACCATTTATGACAAATGAATCAGTACAGCTGATGCTTTTGAAACGAACTTCTCACTCGCGCACTAGAAGAGCTAAACAATGATGTCAGCTGAGGTGGGCCGACCTTGACCTAATAGCATTTACCTGACCTAAAAATTTGTTTTTCTTATCAGTATGGTGTGAGTCTGAAGCGAAAGAACACACTGTTTCGTTGAACGTTAGTCCCAAGCTTAAGCGATCCCGCACCAAGACATACGTATAACGCGAGTGGGAGGGCCCTGAAGTTTCAAGGTAGTTCGTTTGACCCGCGCGTTTTCAGTCACTTAACAGGTGTTAACTCAATGAATTTGGGGTAAGACGCACGCGGTTATTTGCATTTTTCCGATCCAACGATTCATGCTAACGATACCAGGTGGGGAAGGCACTTCGAACCCCCAGCGGGCCGTGCACGACAAAATATTCCCGGCAGTGTCGACTTGTGGGCTGCAAAGTGTTGTAGAGCTACAACAGAGTGTAAAAAGCGAAGAATTCTAAGCTTCTGTCACGCGCACAGTTGACAAATATCGTACACTTACGTCTCCGATGAGCCTTGCAATACCTGCGCGGTCAAAATATCTCCTAGTTATGAAATATTCGAATCATATTGACGAATCAGCCTCATCTTCTATCCTTGAATTTCATTTGTTTCCAATGCACTTCCAGTTTACTTGCGCTTCATGTCAATCAATCTGCTCGCATTACAGCTGAAATACGACCAAACCCACCACCAACACCCGCCCCCTCCCAACAACAGGTGATTCGCACGCCCAGTCGCGCAATCCATACCACAGCACAAACGGACCGGGCCGGGCCGGGCCGGGCCGTCGCTGGCGCGTACCTCGTTGTGGGCGTCATTGTGAGTTCGTTGTGCACGGTGCTGGGGCCACGGTCGGCGGCGCCCGGTCTCCGGCCACGCTTGGCCGCCAGTGGGCGCGCCGTCGGCGCGGCGGGCGGCAGCGCGGCGCGACGAGTGCGGCGCACCGGCGGCGCGCAACGGTCGATACGAACGGCGCGCGCCGCCCGCCGCGGCCGCTCCATTGAGAGCGATGCGCCTTGCAGGGCGGAGCTGGGTATCCCGGCAGGCCACGGGAAAAGGCGGACCGACACCGGCGTCGGTGCCCTGAGGTCAGCCAGAGGGTTTCCAAATTCAGACTGGGTTCTTCTGGTGATATTTAGTACACTTACTTTATGTGTTTCAGCATGCAACAGCTCGCTGGCAAGTTGTCTCCATGATATCTAAAGATCGTGTACACATTGCGTTTTCTTTCCGTACCCTTGGGAAAAGTAGTGCACCCGTATTGCTTTATCACAAGAAACCACCGGCCCAATGTAAACTCCCACAAAAATGACAAAGTTCCGCTACAAAACGCATTTCAGTATCTTCAGGGACAAGCATTGATCGATGCATCTCATTCAGAGGAAGCGGTTCCCTGCTTGGATTTCTTCGGTCCCCGAAATCTCCGATCAATTTTGCTCAACGCGAGCGTTGGATTAACATCAGCTGTAATAGAGATGTTAGTAGTTTTTTTGACATAAGTAGCTTGGTAAATAAGCTGAATTAAAACAGCCACGCGTTTACAGTGGTTGGCAATTGCGCCATTTATGAATACCGGAGGATGGAGCCCGTAAGGTCATTGACAAAAAAATCAAAATTTGAAAGAAGATATTGAGCTACGGATTGGAAATTGTGTTTAACGGATGTCGCAGCTGAATCTAACATACAGTTTATTTTACGCAAACAAAATGTTGCCTTCTAGGTGACGCGATTACTTGAAAGGACCCACAACGTCTAGCAAATTCAAAATTGAAAGGAAGCAAGACAAAAACAACTTTAAACGTACCAGTCTTATAAACCTCACGTCCGGCTGGGGGAAAGGAATCTAAGGCAGGCCTTGGTTGCCTGACTGTTGAAGGTGAGGTGTTTGTGTGGTTGCATATTGTATTGACTCAAACTACGGTATACCGACTTGCCTTCAGTCTCAATCGACTAAGACACGGGTCACAAAGGTCACCATTGCTCAAACCATTACTATGTACACGTTTTGGTACATGGGAAACAGAAGAACGTACAATAGCGATACAGTTGAGAACATATTTCAAGATAAGGGTAATGCAATGTCAAATCGGCAAGAACTAACAAACAGCAAAAGGCATAAAGAACATATTGGGCCTTCACAGCAGCGTTTGTTCGACTAGTACCTAATTTGGTGTCACCGCATTCGGCAGGCATCTAATTCTTACATGCACGAAAAATAAAATAAGCAGTGCTGCAAATAGAATAACAACCGAAAGTCGTTGTTTTTGACAAGCCTATCGAAATGACAGGTAAAATTTATTCTACGACCTTTTTATATTGTTCTCATGCTCCAATTCTTCCCCATTCGTTTCCGCAATTCGTTGCATGGGATGGGAGCAATTCAAAGTTAATACAAACGTGAAATAACAAATAAGTACACGACAGCAAAGTAAACACGCCTGCACAGCGTAAAATTAGGGCTATTTCAACTGCTCTGCTCATGCTTATCATTTGTTTTGCATTTAATAAAATATAGTACATTTTGCGTTCTGTTGTACTTGATTTGCCTTCGAGACTTATGTCAACGGTGCATATCGGAGAGATTATTAATTAAGATGCAAAGGTAGTCGGGGGTAATCATTATTCGTTAATCCTCGCCCTGATAGGGAGGGGGGGGGGCGGGGGGGCGGTGCGATCCCACGTACGGTTTTTCAAAATGCGTCACTGGCATATTGTGCGATCACGTCCAACTTTATGGCATCCCAATGGGCATCCACTGCACGTGTTTTGATGTCAGAAACGCATTCCCAGCTTTTCTGGTGCCGGGGCGGCGGCGGTTTTTGAGGAACAGAGCATGGTGATCTACGGCTTGGCGCGGCGCGGCGGGCGGCAACCGACGATACCACAGAACGCGTGCGGCCGGCCGACATTGCTACATTAGAGAGGCCATGTATCATAAATATATGCAAATAAATACAAAATACCTAAGTGAATAAAATAGATAAATAAATAAAAAACAAATAAATATAGGAAAGAAAGAAAGAAAATAAATGAATAAATAGAAAATAGAAAAGATGTGCAAATGCGCATCATTATTCTCAGAATCGACCATGAAACACTGTACATGTTAAGGTTTCGTGTCGCCACGAGGAACGGCTTCACATGCATGGTGTTGTAAAGCTATTTTTAGTGTGATTTTTCCGGAAATGTTTCCTTTGATCAGGCATCATGCGGTCAGTTACTGACCTAAAAACCTACAGCCTAAAAGCCAGTAATAATCGAGAGACTTGTTGAGATCAATCTCTTGGCATTTTCCAATAAGCTCCGCCTTCATTAGTTTGGTTGGGAAACGCCAGAGCGTCGGATCGATCCCAACAATCAGCCCACGTTTTGAAAACAAGGGAATCAGGGCGAGGGTTAAGATGAACACCCTCAGAGGTAGTCTGGTATTTATCAGCTTGACGTTGATCAGAATTACCAGGGATTACCATTACCATTGGCGATAATTACTATTAATTACCATTCGCGATAAATGAAGAAAATTATGGAGATGATAATGATGGCCATCATCTTCCCGGCCATAATCATAATCATTTTGGATGTTCTTGCTGTATGGTTGTTGACACTACATATGTGCTCCTTGTGTGAGGTATTCTGTGCCCATATCAAATAATGGTAGTAACTAACAAACCGTCCGGTAAACAAACGGCCAGTAAATAAACAGGGCTACACAGAACCTGAACACCTATGGCTATATCCCGCCTCACCCACATCTGAATCATGCCTAGGTATGCACAGAGCAAAGGCGCCTGGTACCTTCAAGCTCGAGAGCCTCAGCGATTCTAACCGTCTGCATGCATCAAATTTGGTTTGTTCACAGAATGCATCACAATCTTCAGCTGTGTGTCACACGCAAGGCTTTCACGCGTTCCCATTGTTTTTTTTGGTGGGGGGGGGTGGGTGGGTGGGTCGCACCACGCAAACACCACAGCAAACCAAAACCTAGTACAAAGGCGAGCAAAGCCTGGTGGAGAACTCAACTCCACGCGTTTATTTTACCTGAAAAGACTTGACCACTAAATTACATCACTCTCGGAATGCAAGAGCGAAAAATTCCAGAAACGCCTTCTAGATGAAATTTATCGGCTGAATATCATCGTTTGAGCACTCATTTTCACAGATTTCAAGTCATACGAGCTGATAACAAAATTTTACCAAAGGAACATCATTTTTATCTTTATCCAATTGTTTCTGTTGTTCTTTGTATTGTATGGGTGTGATATAACTTTCTTTTTCCTTCCTTTCCGATCATCTTTAAAGACACCATCTATGGCTTAAAATGTTCACAAATTTCTCTGTAAAATATTTCAACTGCCAACTTGCACATAGTTCATACATACCTTGTATTAATTCGCCAGCCGCCCCAACATATTTGATATGCACCCAAGGGTGAACAGTTCATAGGAAATGAAGAGGGCAATTTGAATACCAGAACTTATTTTTACCGCCACGTTTGTCCTGTTCATCCCCTAGTTGGTCTTTTTTTGTTTATGGCGGTGCTCAAAAATGATAAATCTAAGCCACTCCAGTTTCACTACCCCACCACGTTTCATTATCCTGCTGTACATGGTATGGGGGCAGACCTGACGCAGCTAATAAAGAAGTGCTTGGTAGCGAAATTCTGTCTTTCGAAACAGTATGCTCATGGGGACCTCCTTCTCTTTTTTCGCTTTTTTTATCTCGAAGGTTTTTGGACATTATTAATGTCCATATTCTGCGGATGGTTTGCATGACCCTGTCTGTCAGTAAACCACGCGAAGGATACTGACTTTTTCGCGTGGAGGAGCAGAAAAGAAGCCTGCCCTTAAAAAGCTAGTAAGTTTCTCTGGTGGATGAATATATATGCTACCTCGAAATGTGTCTTTGTTTGCTGTAGCTTCTCTCACTGACTCATAAGTTGCAACGTTTGTAAATTGAATTTTTTAACTTGTGTACGGTCTTTTTGTGATGAAATTTTTCAGACCGCCCTAGATCAAAAGCGATTCTAGCCCACTGAAAACGTCACAAATTTAAGCACACTTCAACGCGCACCCGGTGGCAAGCCGGACACGACGCGCCGGGGTTGGAAGGGTAGTTTGACCGTCTGAGACTTAAAAAATTAGGAAAGATAGAAACATCTGCTCCATTTAGGTGCCAGGGCCTCTCAACACCAAGTGGTGCGCAAATGTTCCAAGAACGTTCTCCTGGCACATAAAGGGCCTTCCTCATCCAGAACAGGATCTTTTGATTCAAAAGCGGGTCTCGGAATCTAGTAAATGGCCATTTATCCCAAAACATGGCCTCGCGATCCAAAACCACGGTCACGAGAAGCATGAAAAAGAACTTTTGTTCCAGAAAAAGGCATCGCAAAAAAGAGGATGTCTGCCAATTGAAAACAGGTACTCAGGAACTACTTAACACAATATTGGCTATCCTGATAGTTTAATTAGGCACGGATTTCCTAATTCATAAAGGTGGCCTCATGATCCTAAACGGCGGACATCTAAATGAGGAAATTGCATTCTGGACCCAAGTTATCGGTCTGAGTCTCAGTTATAAGGTCTCAGTTAAAGGGCCTCCCTTATCTGAATTTTGGCCAGCTGCAAGTAGTTACAAAACCAATAATTTGGATAAATGGTTCCCTTCCAAAATTTGAGGAAGCAAAAGCACCCTCTTGACCCCTTGCCTGTCGGCAGAGGGGCAACTGCCCCCTGCCCTACCTCCCCCGCCCCCCCCCCCCGCTCTGCCGCATCACCAAGTGTATGCACAAATGCGTGTTTGAATTTCACAGCACACAGTTACATATTGCATGCAGCGCTTGGTACCTATATTTTGATTAGCCTTCACTTCACGAGGGCAAGAGGGCTCAAAGGCCCAAAGGATTTTGCGGAATACATTTTAAGCGGTTTTGAGCAGTCGCTGAAACTTTGAAACGCTGAGTTTATGTCATTTTGAACGCTTGTGAGAATTCGAAGTTTCTGACCTTGGTGGCGTATAATTTTTTTCCGGGGGTCGTGTTAATGACATTATGTTTCAAGATGATAAATAAGGGTTTCATGAAAGTTCACATGAAATATCTTTCAAACAGATTCCCAATCTCTCCC